GCTCTAGTATTCTTATTATATCTCTATGACATATACAAACATACACGGAGCACAGGTTTATGTCGGTTGACCTTGGATGCCACTGGGTACGTGCATGCATGCGCCGTTCAACCACTGATTTTAACGAATATTGAAAAATTATATACAAATTCTTTATTATATCGAAATCATATAACATAACATATTTCCATAATATGAAATATTTCCATAATATAAAGCGGACTGCAAGTCTTTCCTACAGATTCTTAAGTTTTCAATCATCACATCAAACTGGGAAACTATTTTATTGAATTTGGTCTAGCCCTTTATTATTTATGTCAGTATGGTTATGTTACTTTCATTTTTGTTATCTTTCATGGGGAACACTCACTTTATTAAACATTTTTTGACATAATTTCATCACCTTACACACTTAAAGGATTTTTCAAAAAATATATTTCAACTGATAGATTTATCTGGTTTTCACAAAACTTAAAAAAGAAATTATCAAGAATCAATAATCACATGCTGAATATATTATTGTAAGAAATAACGATATTAAAAATATTATTTTCATCTTTTGCTTATGCATTATGTTCAAGCAACTTACACAAACGTAAGAGACAAAGTTATGCCTTAATTTTAGTTAAAGGTTATAATATGTACTTTTATTTTTATAAATTTTAGAAGGCTACGCGTAAACACAAACCTTTTTTAGATATTTTCATTCGTTTCTCATATTCCCAGAGTGTACTTCCTGTGTAGATGCCGGATGCTTTTTCAATGAGTTGCCTGGTCCATGTGTTTCCTGACCTGGGGTAGCTTGCTAGTGCCACTAGGGGTAAGCTGCCTTTCGGCTTTAGAACAATATTCGAACATCTTTCATCTGTAACGATATGCGATACAACGAAAACAATTAGGCCTACAGTAATGCAATTAGTGATAATCAGCTTAAAACCCACAAAAGTGACGTAACGATGACGCTTGATATCCCTGGCTATGTCCTTCAAACCGGTTGTTTTTGGGGGGGGGGGTGGTCGTGTTGTATCTCGTTGCAAGTAAGCCTGGTCTGCTACAGCGTTTTTAAGATTAATTCACATACTGTATTGTAAATTGATTTTTTTTTTTTGGGTATGGTACTGTACTGGACGAAAAAGCTCAATTCGGGTACCGGGTGCTAAGGTGATATAACAACATATATTTTGAAATGTTATGGAATTTAAACCAAAACTAATTGATAAAGGTGTGGCATTATTGTTACAACGAATGATGTGGAGTGCTTTTGGTGAGATACATCCCAAGGATAACCACTAACTAATAAGAGTAAGAAGTGGGTCCCGGTCTGTTGGTGAATTTTGCACACGGGGGCGGAGGCAATCCCCTATCCCATACTGAAGGTTGTAATGAGTTCTTCATTGTGTAATAATAATAACTGCACTCGGGACCAACAGCTTAAACGTATCATCCAAAAGACGGCGGGCCAACTGGAGCACAAGAGCAGAGGATAGGGAACCGGCCAGAGACGAAAGATCTCAACGACTTTAGCGGATATCACAGTAGCTACCACCTTTTTAGCAGATTGAGGTGAGTTGCTCTATCCATTGATGCACAGACCCTACAAATCATCTCCGGAGTCCAGCACGGACATCCGCGTCGTAGCTTGACGGACATGCTTTAATATTCTATGTTTACGGACTGTGGTATGGGAATGACCAACACCCAGACGCAGTTTGAGATTTATGTCACACTTTCATTATACAGACTTTATCGATGATAATGCTGGTTTCCTATCTCATAATTTCACCAAAACAAAAGGCTGACAAAGACAAAGCTAAATAAATGTTCTGGTCAGAGAGCTGTTCTGAAAATAAACTAGAAATGGGCGGTCACGTTGTGTCTTTAATGAGTGGTTAGCATTATTTTGTATCAGATGAGCAGGCTCAATATCTGAGTTAAAATGTATTAAGCCTATATAAAATAATAGAATTGGCCTATTAATATTTACCTGTAACCTTGGTTCGATAAAGCGACAGGTATTGTTCTCCTCCACAGTTGTAGAGAGCCTCACCACTACATGGTACGTCACAAAACTTACTGTCTTTGTAGTCGAGTAGTGTGTTTTCTTTACCTCTGATGTTGCTACAGAGACACTGCGTACCCTTTCCGAGAGCTGCGTACGTGTAACTCTGAAACAAATAAAGTAAATTTTAATTTTAGCCCGTTATACCAGGGGCGTAGTGTGGTTTCATATTGGGGGTGCAAAACTTGAAACTTGGGTGGGTTCGGGGTGCGAAAATTGCGGAGCTATATCCCTATTTCAACTAAAATTTAATTTTTCATTATTATTATGATAATCATCATCATCATCATCGTCATCGTCATCATCATCATCATCATCATCATTATTATTATTATTGTATTGCTCATTATAATTACCACCATCTTTATATACACCACCACCGCTGTCAACATCGTCATTGCCACATCACCGTCTTCATCACCATCATCCTTATCCTACTGCACCGCCGTTCCTGTAGCCGAAATATAATCCTAATAGCATTTTATTTGGTAATATACCGTCACTCTAAATTTAATTTTTAAATAAAAACTATATACCCACAAGCTTAATGCACATGTTTAAACAGTGGATAATTGTCATTTGCTTTGTGTCATCTACTATTCCTCCGGTCACTGTTGACTGCAAGTTCGTCTCGGGATACGGCCGTGGTACGCATGCCCGATAAACTCCAGGACTATCTACGTCAGTAAAGGACATCCACGTTTTTCCAGTATCTACATTTTATTGATCAACAATAGAAAAAGAACAAAATAAAAAGAAAAAAAGATGTGTATAAGAGACAGGCATTAAACAGCGTACGCTAAATGCAAACTAGTGTTTTTGAGACATGTGCGTATTCATAGTTATTAAGCTGCATTCAAACCGAATCCGAATTGTCGGATCGGAAAGCCTACCGAACCGATCAGAAAATCAAATCAGTGTGCAAGAATAGGGACGCTGACGAATCTCGGTTTGGATCCGATGTGAATGGGTAGAAGATTGTTTTCTAAATTTCGTTTAGGAGTTATTAATTTAGAGGTCGAGAAGGGCAGATGGAATATGATTCCACTCCAGTGTCATTTAAGTAAACTCTATAATTTAAGTTCAATTGAAGATGAATTTCATTTTACACTACCGTAATTCGTCCTTTTTATTCTGAGATCAGAAATGATTTTAATATGAATGTCTAATATAAAATTAACATCTTTTTTTTTTTATTATTATATAAGGACCAAAGGCTTAGCCTATATGTTTTGATGATGAATAAAACCCCATTTAGGGGAACGAAACGAATGGAGCTATTACTTTCTTTCCCTATTCAGGGAATTTATTCAAGTACATGGGCCATTGGACCTAATACTAAACATAATTTATTGTGACATAATACACTTATTTCTTTTTTCAAACGCAAAATAGACGTATTTTGCTAAATTATTAATATATTTTGTATTTGAAAATAATAGACAGAGCTTGTTAATAGATGGATATAAGTAAATAAATTTTGGAATATATTTGCTCCTTAAAATCAGAATAATATGGGCATTGCAAAATAAAGTGAAATTCATCTTCAATAATATTGTTATCGCATATTTTGCAGGTTCTTTTGTCTCTATCAATATTTTCCCACCTCCCCTTTTCAATCTCAAGTATACCTAATCTTAACTTTGTCAATAACCGTCTGTGTTTTAAATTACTAACGTTCGTATACTGATAGCTTAAACTTATTTCTTTTTTATACAGAGTGATTTGCGATTTGCGTCTTTGTGATAAATTTTGTCGAAAAAATTCAAAAATTATGTTTAATAGCCATTGAGGAATTATTATCCCAACTTACATAAATGCCTTTGCTGTTTTTATTTTTTATTATGCATTTCGCAGCATGTTAAAGCCTGGTGAATAGAAATTACTATTGAGGAATATTTCAGTCTATGCAATCCAATTTAAAAAACTGCTATACTAGAATCCAAAGTGTCGTTACTACTGAAATACATGTACACCACTGCCAATGCCCTTAAACTGGACCTCTGACACCATATTGTGTGCATGCGTCACACCATGGTTGGTCGCAATTCCCGATACTCGCAAACGTCGTTCCCCATCTCCCAACACGAGCATGATATTGCTAAGAGTATAGGAGTTTATAAGTGATCCAGCCTGAGATATGATTATCTTATTTGCTTGTTTTACTAACTAATAAGCACCTCGGTTATAATATTGCCTAAAAAATGTCACCCGAAGGCGGGAATTCAAGCATTGGTAGAGCACTACTTCCCGATCGTCACTCTCTCTTCAAAAGCCCGGTTTCTGTATTCGTTACACTTTCGCTACAGTGTTTCAGTGCTGCGTAGTAGTCCCAGAGGCAATCGGGAAGGCTCCCCGATTCGACCGACCAATCAGCATCATGAAAACTGAAGGCGATAGCGCGTAGCAATTGTATGGAAACCAAGATATAGATGAGGTTTGCCAGGCAGTGAGCTACCAAGCCCATAGTGCTCAATTATTTTTTTTTAAAAACAGAGTACCGTACTGTATTATTTTTTTTATTCGTGGACAGTCTTAAGCCGTCGCGAGAAATATTAAACATGTTTAATATTCTACGACGCGACTGCCCCCGACGGCGATTTTTTTTCCGTACGAAACATTTACATGAAACTCCACTCGGGCCGTCTCGGCTGAATCGACCCGAAAATCTCATTGCAGAATTCAGGAGGTCAAAAGGTCATCAACAGATAAACGTCTGCAGA